GTGGTTCTATATGACTTCTAGGATTATTTTTAAAATGTTTGAGAGAGAGAAAGACAAAGACTGAGTGTGTGGGGGAAGGGGCAGAGGGAGAGAGAGAATCCCAAACAGGCTCCACACTGCCACAGCAGAGCCTAACTCAGGGCTCAATTTCACATACTGTGAGATCATGACCTGAGCCAAAATCAAGAGTCAGCCACATAACAGACTGAGCCACCCAGGCACCGTAGGATTTTTTTTTTTCTATTTCTACAAAATATATCATTGGGATTTTGATAGGGATTGCATTGAATGTGCAAACTCTTTGGGTAGTATGGATGCTTTAAGTCCTCCAGTCCATAAACACAGGTAACTTATTTATGTCTTAAAATTTCTATCAACAATGTTCTTTAAGTTTTCAATATACAAGTCTGTCACCTCCTTGGTTAACATTATTCCTAAATCCTTTTTCCTTTCTTACGCTATAATTGAGGGTTTTTTCCTTAACTTCTCAGATTGTTTAGTATATAGAAATACAAGTAATTTTTGTATGTTGACCTTGTATCTGACAACTTCGCTGAATTAGGTCCAATAGTTTTTTATGGGGTCTTCAGGGCTTTTTACATATGCCATCTGTGAATAATGGTATCTATACTTATTTTGTTCAGTAGTATGTTGAATAGAACTAGCAAAAGTAGGTGTCCTTGACTTGTTCCTGATCTTACAAGAAAAGCTTTCAGTTTTTCACTAAGTATGCAATTATCATGGGATTTTAACGTATGGCTTTTGTTATGTTTAAGTAATTTCATTCTATTCCTACTTTGAGTGTTTTAACTTGAAAGGATGGTATATTTTGTCATTTGCTATTTCTGTATCTATTGCCATGTGATTTTTTTAGCCTTCATTCTGTTCACATGGTATGATTGATTTCCATATATTGAAGACTCTTTGCATCCCAGAGATAAATCCCACAAGATCATGCTGTATGACCCATTAAATGTGATATTGAAATCCGTTTGCTAGTATTTCGTTGACAAGTTTCACATGAGTATTTATCAGGTATCATGTACGTGCACGCGTGCATGGGTGCATGCACAGGTGCACACACACACACACACACACACACACCTTTGGCTTTGTAAGCAGGATGATAGCCTTATGAAATGAGTTTAAAAGCATTTTTTTTTCTTGGCAAGAGTTTAAGAATGACTTGCATTAATGCTTCTTTAAATGGTTGGTGTATTTCTCCAATGAAGACATCTGGTCCCAGGCTTTTACTGTGGAAAGATTTTTGAAAACTGAAATAATCTCCTTACTAGTTATACTTTTCTTCATATTTTCTTTTTATTCATAATTTACTCTTGGTAGTTTGCTTATTTCTAGCCATTTTTTTTCCTGTAGATTTTCCAATTTCCTGTCTTCAATTTTTCATAAGTCTTCTAATTCTTTCATTTTTATGAATCATTTTTTATGCCTCTGCTTTCATTTCTGATTTTGAGTCTCATTTTCTTGATTAATTTTTATCAAAGAACCAACTCTTAGTTTTATTGACCTTTTCTATGTAATTCCGTTTCATTTATGCTCTGATTTCCTTCTACTAATTTTGAACTTAGCTTGTTTATAAATATATATTGTTTTTTATTTAAATAGTTAACAGTATAATAATCATTTCAGGAATAGAGTTTAGTGACTGATCACTTATATTTGACACCAAGTGCTTATCCCAACAAGTGTCCTTGATGTCCATCACCCATTTATCCCATTCCCCCACCCATCTTCCCTCCAGCACCCCTCAGTTTGTTCTTTCTCGTTGTCCTATGGTTTGCCTCTCTCCCTGTTTTTATATTATTTTTGCTTCCCTTCCCTTATGTACATCTGTTTTGTATCTTAAATTCCACATGAGTGCTATCACATGATACTTGTCTTTATCTGATTTGTTTCGCTTAGCATAATACACTCTAGTTCCATCCATGTAGTTGCAAATGGCAAGATTTCATTATTTTTGATTGCTGAGTAAAATACCTTTGTATATATATATATATATATACCACAACTTCTTTATCCATTCATCTGTCAATGGACATTTGGGCTCTTTCCATACCTTGGCTATTGTTGATAGTGCTGCTATAAACATGGGGGTGCATGTGCCCCTTCAAACCAGCATTCCTTTATCCTTTGGATAAATTCCTAGTAGTACAATTGCTGGGTCATAAGGTAGTCCTATTTTTAATTTTTTGAAGAACCTCCATACTGTTTTCCAGAGTGGCTGCACCAGTTTGCATTCCCCTCAACCATGCAAAAGTGTTCCTCTTTTTCCACACCCTTGCCAACATTTGTTGTTGCCTGAGTTGTTAATTTTAGCACACCATTCTAACAGGTGCGAGGTGGTATCTCATTGAGACTTTTATTTGTATTTTCCTGATGAGTGATATTGAGCATTTTTTCATGTGTCTATTAGCCTTCTGGATGTGCCTTCGTTGGAAAAGTGTCTATTCATGTCTTTTGCTCATTCATTCACTGGAATATTTGTTTTTTGCATGTTGAGTTTGGTAGGTTCTTTATACATTTTGGATACTAGCCCTTATCTACTATGTCATTTGCAAATATCTTCTCCCATTCTGTAGGCTGCCTTTTAGTTTTCTTGTTTCCTTTGCTGTGTAGAAGATTTCTATCTCAATGATGTTCCAGTAGTTCATTTTTGCTTCTGTTTCTCTTGCATCCAGAGACATGTCAAGTAAGAAGTTGCTGCAGCTGAGGTCAAGGGGGTTGTTGCCTGTTTTGTCCTCTAGGATTTTGATGGCTTCCTATCTTACATTTAGGTCTTTCGTCCACTTTGAATTTATTTTTGTGTATGGTGTAAGAGAGTGGTCCAGGTTTCCAACACTATTTGAGACTGTCTTCATTCCATTGGATATTCTTTCCTGCTTTGTCAAAGATTAGTTGGCCATATGTTTGTGGGTCCATTTCTGGGTTTCCTATTCTGTTCCATTGATCTGAGTGTCTGTTTTTGTACCAGTACCATAATGTCTTGATTATAGCTTTGTAATACAGCTTCAAGTCCAGTATTGTGATGCCTCCAGCATTTTCTTATTCAGGATTGCTTTGGCAATTTGGGGTCTTTTCTGGTTCCATATAAATTTTAGGATTTTTCTAAGCTCTGTAAAGAAAGCTGGTATTATTTTGATAGATATTGCATTGAATATGTATATTGTTTGGGGTAGTTTTGACGTTTTAACAATATTTGTTCCTCTGATCCATGAGTATGGAACATTTTTCCTTTTTTTGTGTGTGTCTTCCATCTCTTTAATAAGCTTTCTATAGTTTTCTGTGTATATATTTTTTTGCCTCTTTGGTTAGATTTATTCCTAGGTGTTTTATGGGTTTTTGTGCAATTGTAAATGGAATTGATTCCTTGAGATCTCTGTTGCTCCATTATTGGTGTATGGAAATGCAACCAGTTTCTCTACATTGATTTTATATCATGCAAATTTGCTGAATTCAAGAATCAGTTCTAGCAGTTTTTTGGTGGAGTCTTTTGGGTTTTCCACATACGTATCATGTCATCTGCGAAGAGTCAAAGTTTGACTTCCTCCTTGCCTATTTGGATCCTTTTGTGTCTTTTGAGTTGCCTGATTGCCAAGGCTAGGACTTCCGACACTATGTTAAATAACAGTGGTGAGAGTGGACATCCTTGTCGTGTTCCTCATCTTAGGGGAAAAGCTCTCAGTTTTCCCCTGTTAAGGATATTAGCAGTGGGTCTTTCATATATGGCCTTTATGATCTTAAGGTATGATCCTTCTATCCCTACTTTCTTGACAGTTTTTATCAAGTAAGGACGCTGTATTTTGTCAAATGCTTTCTCTGCATCTATTGAGCATTATTATGTGGCTCTTAATCTTTCATTAATGTGATGTATCACATTGATTTATTTGAAGATATTGAACGAGCCCTGCATCCCAGGTATAAATCCCACTTGGTCGTGGTAATTTTTTAATATATCAGTGGATCCAGTTTGCTAGTATCTTGTTGCCATTTTTTGCATCCATCAGGGAAATCGGCCTGTAGTTATCCTTTTTAGTGGGGTCTTGGGATTTAGCATCAAGGTAATGTTGGCCTCATAAAATGAATTTGGAATTTTCCTTCAATTTCTAGTTTTTGGAACAGCTTTCAAATAGTAGGTTTCAACTCTGCTTTAAACATTTGGTAGAATTTCCTTGGGAAGCCATCTGGCTCTGGACTCGTTTGTTGGGAGATTTTTATTTTTGATTCAATTACCTTACTGATTATGGGTCTCTTCAAATTTTCTCTTTCTTCCTGCTTCACTTTTGGTAGTTTTGTTTCTAGAAATTTGTCCACCTCTTCCAGATTATCCAACTTGTTGGCATATAATTGCTTATAATATTCTATTTTTGTTTGTATTTCTACAGTGTTGGTATTATCTCTTTCACTTGTGAATTTATTTACTTGGGTCATTTCTCTTTTTCTTTTTGATCAATCTGGCTAGCAGTTTATCAATTCTGTTACTTCTTTCAAAGAACCAGCTCCTGTCTTCATTGATCTGTTATTTTTTATTATTTTGATATCATTGATTTCTGCTCTAATCTTTATTATTTCCCTCCTACTGGTTTTAGCTTTTTTGTTGTTATTTTTCCAGATCTTTTAAGTGTAAGATTAATTTGTGTATTTGAGACCTTTCTTCCCTCATTAAGAAGGCCTGGATTGCTACATACTTCCCTTATGACTGCCGTTGTTGCATCCAAGAGATTTGGGGTTGTCATGTTTTCCTTTTCATTGGCTTCCATGTACTTTTTAATTTCTTCTTTAATATTCTTTAGTAGGATGTTCTTAAATTTCCAAGTATACATGGTCTTTCCATATTTCTCTTGTGGTTGATTTTGAGTTTCACAGCATTGTGATCTGAAAATATGCAAGGTATTATCTCAATCTTTTGTACTTGTTGAGGGCTGATTTGTGACCGAGTATGTAATGTATTCTGGAAAATGTTCCATGTGAACTCACAAAGTACGTGTACTCTGTTGCTTTAGGATGAAATCTTCTCAATGAATCTGTTAAATCCTTCTGGTCCACTGTGTCACTTAGACTCATTGTTTCCTTGTTTATTTTCTGCTTAGATTATCTGTCCATTGCTTTAAGTGGGGGTGAAGTCCCCTACTATTATGGTATTATCAATGAGTTTCTTTGCATTTGTAATTGGTTTATATATTTCAATGCTTTCAGGTTGGGGGCATACGTATTTACAATTGTTAGATCTTCTTGGTGGATAGATCTCTTAATTATGATACAATGACCTTATTCATCTGTTACAGTCTTTATTTTAAAATCTAGTATGTTTGATCTAAGTATGGCTACTCCAGCTTTGATGGCAATTAGCATGGTAGATAGCTCTCCATCCCCTTTCCATTTGTGAGTGTCTTTACATATAAAATTAGTCTCCTGTCAGCAGCATATAAAAGGGGCTTGTTTTCTTTTCCATTCTGATACCTTAGGTCTTTTGATTGGAATGTTTAGTTTATTGACTTCTAGAGTGAGTTCTAAAAGATGAATTTAGTGCCACTTTGTTGCCTGTAGAGTTGGAGTTTTTGGTTATGTTCTCCGGTCCTTTCTAGTCTTTGTTGCTTTTGTCTTTTTTTTCTTTTCTCCAAAGAGTCCCATTTAAAATTCCTTGCAGGGCTGACTGAATGGCCACAAACTGCTTTAGTTTTTGTGTGTCCAGGAAACTCAATCTCATTCTATTTTGAATGACAGCCTTGCTGGATCAAGCACTCTCATTTGCACATTTTTCAGATTCAGTACTATGAATATATCCTGCCCCTCCTTCCTGGCCTGCCAATTCTCTGTGGATATGTCTGCTGCAAACATGATCTGTCTTCCCTAAAGAGGTTAAGGACTTTTTTGCCCTTGCTTTCATAATTCTTTGTCTGTGTATTTTGTGAATTTGACTATGATATGCCTTGTGCTAGTCTTCTAGGGGATGTGCTTGGAGGCTGCAATTGGACAGAGCTTGGTTTAACAACTCCATTCTCCACTTATTAGCTTACTGGGGTGGATCAGTGTGGCACGCATGCACACGTGCATATGTGGGAGAAGCGGCAATGGCTTCACCCAGCTCCCGAGTCTTTGGCATAGGAACTTTGCACCCTCACCTACCTACGATCAAACACCCCTCCTTTAACTCAGGCCTTTTTCCATTCCCTACCTCTACCCTATCCATGTCCAAGCTGTCTGCCTGCCACATGGTTTTATCCAGAGTTTTATCTCAGATGGGGTTGTCTCTCACAAGTCCATACTTCAAAGACCCTGCAACTTGGACCCCCCACCAACTCTCTGGGGGAGAGTCTTGCTGAGCAATGGCCTGGTGCCATTTTGCCCCAGAAAATGTTCATTAGATCACACAGTGGTAGAGGTTTGGAGATTGTGGCATATCACAACAAACAGCTGGCACCAGGTTTCACCACACTCTGGCATCTTTGTTCCAATAGCAGCAAATGTGGCTCTTCTCTGGGGTCCACTGGAACCTTTTCCTGTGGGTAGGCTGTATGGCCTCTACCAAATGCTATCCCAGCAGGGGAACTGCTTCTCCCCATGTGGCACATGGACCCCTCAGACCCACTGCCTGCCTTTGGGAGTTTGCCCTACTTCTTCACCAGAGTATCCCCAGGCACTGAGCCCTAGAATTTCCAACTCTGCCCTCCACTCTTTATAGAACTCAGGTGGTGTTGAAACCTTCTCTTTTCTTCCCATCAATGGTTTTGCGGAACAGATTTTTTGTTCAGTCCCCTGCAAGAATTTTCAGTCTTTCTCTCCAACTACTTTCAGGGGGAGTGCATTTCTTGCACAATCCTGATGTCCCTCTCTCTCAGCCTTTTGCTCTGTTCTCTCTCCATAGTAACAGCTCCCTACCCTCCACGGCTTTTCTCTCCCCCAGTTCACCTCTCTGTACCACATGCTGGCCAACTTTTGTGGGTCAAGTTACACAGATTGTTACATTAATCTTCAAATCAATTTCCCAGGTGTTCCAAAATGGTTTGGTGCTGATCTAGCTGCATTTCAGGGACAAGACAAGCTCAGGCTCTTCATACAGCTCTGCCATCCTAACTTCTCCTCGTGCCTCCAGCTTGTTCTCTTTCTTGGAGTGCCCAGTTAGAATACTTGAGAGATCTCAACTTAGGTATTTATCACTATAAATTTTTATTCTAGTACTGCTTTTGATGCATCCCAATATTTTGTTACCTTGTGTTTGTCTTACCATATCTTCTATTTTCTCTTTTGATTTCTTCTTTGGTTCATTTGTCGTTCAAGAGTATGATGTTTCATTTCCTCATATTTGTATTTTCTGGTTTTCTTCTGCTATTAGTTTTTAGTTTCACTCCATTGCAGTAGGGAGAAATACTTGGAAGGATTTTAGTCTTCTCACTAGTATTTTGTGACCTAATGTATCAACGATCTTGTAAAATATTTCATTGGTGCAATGTTCTGTGTATGTGTGGACTGTTTGACCTATAACATGATTCATGCCATCTATTTCCTTACTGACCCATCTGGATGCTCTAGCCACTACCTTAAGTGAAATTTTTCATGCTTTAATATGGAGTACATTTGTACTTGTTACAGCTTCCTAGTGAATTGGCTCTTTCAGTGGATTTTGTTCCTTGTTTAAGTTTTTGATTTAATCTACCTTGCTTGCTTTAACTTTGGCCATTACCACTCTTTTCTAGTTACCACTTGCCAAAATATCTTGTTCCATCCTTTCACTTTTAGCCAATACATGTCCTTAAGTCAAAAGTCAGTCTTTTGCAGATAGTGTATATTTACAACTTATTTTTTTTAATCCAAATAATCTTTGTTTGTGGTGTTTAATTCATTTGCATTTAAGCTAATTACTGTTAAGGGAGAATATACTATTATCATTTTGTTATTCTCTTATAGTTCTTGCATCTTCTTTTCCTCTCAAAGTCTGTCTTCTTTTGTGCATTCCTTTTTCTGTAGTGTCACCCTTTGATTCCATTCTCATTTTCTTTTTTGAATCTTCTATAAGTATGTTGTGTTATATGAGCCCTCTGGCAACCAAGATCTATTTTTAAGCTGGTAACTTAATATTAATCACATTGAAAAAAAATTCTAACTCTGCTCATACTGTTACTAATGTCACAAATTGCATTTTTTATATCCTATCCATTAACATTTTTATAGTTTTATCTTCTAGGGTTTTTATCTTTTAAATTCTACATGACCATTAGAAGTGGTTTACATACCAGTATTATAGTGTTCTCTATTTGTCTATTTACTTTTCTTTTTAAATGATATTTATTGTCAAACTGGTTTCTATACAACACCCAGTGCTCATCCCAACAGGTGCCCTCCTCAATGCCCATCCCCCACTTTCCCCTGCCTCCCACCCCCCCCCATCAACCCTCAGTTTATTCTCAGTTTTTAAGAGTCTCTTATGGTTTGCTTCCTTCCCTAACTTTTTTACCCCCTTTCCCCCTTTCCATGGTCTTCTGTTAAGTTTCTCAGGATCCACATAACAGTGAAAACATATGGTATCTATCTTTCTCTGTATGACTTATTTCACTTAGCATAACACTCTCCAGTTCCATCCACATTGCTACAAAAGGTCGTTTTTCATTCTTTCTCATTGCCAAGTAGTATTCCATTGTATATATAAACCACAACTTCTTTATCCATTCAGTTGATGGATACCAGATGGCCAACAGGCACATGAAAAGATGCTCAACATCACTCTTCATCAGGGAAATACAAATCAAAATCACAACGAAATGTATATTTACTTTCAACAGTGAGCTTTATGGTCTCATGTCCAGTCTAGAATCCTCAATTTCAACTTGAGGGACTTCCTTTATAGCCTTTCTTTTAAACCATGTCTCTTCATAATAAAATGCCTCATGTTTAGTTTCTCTGGAAAAGCCTTTATCTCTCCATTTTTAGAAGAATTTTGCTACATATAGTATTCTTGGCTCAAAATGTTTATCAGCACTTCGAATGTAAGATCTCACTGCCTTCTGGCCTGCAAAGTATATACAGGAAAAAAAAATCCACATGTAGTTTTATGGAGTCTCCTTCCTATCAGGCCACTTTTACTTGTAAGATTTTTGGTTTTTGACAACTTGATTGCAAGAGGTTTCAGCATGAACTATGTTTTCATCCTAGTTGAACATCTATGTATGGAATTCTTGAATTTGAACGTGTATCTCCTCCAGATTTGGGCAGTTTTCAGCCATTATTTATTCAAATAATCTTTCTGCCCTCTCCCCCTCCTCCTTCTGGGACTTCTACAATGCATATATCGGTTTACCTAGTGTTCCTCACTCTGCTGTTTGCTTCCCTTTTATTTTTGTTCTTCTTATTGGGTAATTACAAATGACCTATCTTGGACTTTACCAGATCCTTCATCTGATCAAATCTGTTGAATTTCACTGGTGAATTTTTAAATTCAGCTATTTCTGTAGCTCCACGTTATTTTTTCATCTTCTCTTTGCTTATGCTCTTACTTTGTTCATGCATTGTTTTTTTCAAGTTTATTGACCATCTTTAGGTCATCATGAGGTGTTCGGCAATTCATTTTCCTCCCTTTCTTTGGGATTGTTTTCTGGAGACTTGCCTTGTGCCTTTGGCCATATCTCCACCTTTTTTCATATGCCTTATAACTTGTTAGGATTCACACTTTGAAAAAAAAAAAAGAAGAGCCAACTCTCCCAGTCCTTAGTGTCCATCTAAACAGGGGCAAAGATTCACCAATTCACTATTCGGCCTGGCTAAAGATTGTGGGGACCTTTCAAACCTTTTCTGTCAGTATGGTTATTCCCTGCATTTTTACATGTAAATTATGAATTAGAGGGATATTCCAGTTCACCCCCACCCCTCCCCGCAGGAGCTCATTTTCTCTTCCTTCCTCTGGAGTCCGTCTATGCAGCTGCAGTTTCTCTGGAGATCCCCTACCCACCCAGCAGTCTTTTGTTTCTATGGCTCCAAGTTTCTAGAGTATGCCAGGCCCCAACAGTGCTCCAAGTCAGATGAGACCGAAATCAGTCCCTCAGGCAACTGCTTAAAAAGCTGTAATAATAAATGCACGATCTACCCCTTTCTCCCTACTCTCCCACAAAGGAGAGGTCAAATTTCATTAGTTTTTGTTTGCTCTACTTCACATCATCTTCAACAACAAGCTCCATAGTGCTCCTGTTCTCAGTGACATCTAGATAATCCTAAGTATGCCAGGTTCTACCCATGCTCCTAGTTCAATCAGACAAACCAGTCCCCTCATATATCCCCCTAAAATACTGAAATGTCGTATTCACGTGCCAACTCTCTCCCCCCCCACAGAGAAGGTGGAGTTGCAAGTTTTCTCACATTCATTCCATACTGAGTCAGGGGGAGAGACTATAGAAGGTCTTAGTTCAAACCATCACTTTTGTTCTCAGCTGCCCCCAAGCTTTGGCTCTTTCAGGTCAATACTTAGATTCAGGCAACACAAAAACCAGTTCCTCCAGTACCTCCTCAATTTATCTGTATATTTGATGTATAGTCTGGTATTGTGTGTTTCCCTATCCAAGAAGCCAGGGTGTGGGAGTTTTCTCCTGATAACACCACAGAGCTATGGGGACCAGAAGACAAACTGAGTGCCATGAATTCTATAGACCTTGAAGCAGTTGGTTTCATGCTCACCTGGGGTGCAGGTGCCTCTTAACTAATTTCTGGAGGTATCACAAAGGAAATTGGTACAACCGTGTCTCTTTTGTGGAGAAGTGAAGTATGGGGCTTCTACCCTCTTTCTAATGTCACTCCTACATCATGTCCTCCCAGTGGAGCTATGGATGTAACCCTACATGCTCAACTACAATTTCTTCACCTATGAAACGCAAGCCTACACTGTATAATTTCCATGTCCTGTAAAATCCCAACAACCTAAAAATTAAGATCTATGACCTAAGAGAATAAAAACGTAGTCTATAATGAAGGTGGACAAGCCATTACAACACACTGCCAAACCGATTTGTGAGATTTCTAAGTATGACAAACTTAGTAAATATCCTTTAAGTTTCTCCTCAGAATTAAATGTACTTCCCCTTTTTAAGTGCCTTTTCAACTTACATATACAAATCCAAATGTCTATTTTGTAGTTTACAAAGTTAGAAAATGGACTTTTATAGTAAAATAAAAATTCTCACCTGGAATTAGTAATTATAGGATTAGTAATAAAATGATAACAGTAACAGCTATAATGTTGATTAGTAATATCAATGCAACCATGGTGTGTGTATGTGTGTGTGTGTGTGTAAATTGCAAATATTCCATCACAGATGCAAAGTTGTAATTGCATCCATTATCTTTGGTCCAATTTCTACCATGCTCACCATTCTAGCAGCCTCTCAAATAGAAAAGCATGGGTCTCAGGCTTTCTCTGCTGGAAGCTAAGCAATATGAAATGTCAAACAGCTGCACACACTTCATTCCTCTTTTGTCTTTTATTATACACACAGTTTGGCCCCTTTTAAAATAGATTAAATAGGGGCGCCTGGGTGGCGCAGTCGGTTAAGCGTCTGACTTCAGCCAGGTCACGATCTCGCGGTCTGGGAGTTTGAGCCCCGTGTCAGGCTCTGGGCTGATGGCTCGGAGCCTGGAGCCTGTTTCCGATTCTGTGTCTCCCTCTCTCTCTGCCCCTCCCCCGTTCATGCTCTGTCTCTCTCTGTCCCAAAAATAAATAAACGTTGAAAAAAATAAATAAAAAAAAATAGATTAAATAAAGTCTAGCAGTAAATGAATTCTTGTTGACAAATACAATCATAATGCTCAATTGAACAAATTGTTTTTCCTGCCCTCCAACTGTTCTTAAAACAAGAAGCCACAGAAGTTATTTACCAGAAAAAAATATATACATATCAAGCCTATGAGGACAAAGTTTTTTTATGTTATTCACCGATTTCCTTTCTGTTAAAAATAGGTATTTCCTAACATTTGGCAGAATGTGCAGAGTCCTACACAAAAAAATGCCTACAAATTTCAACAAATATAATACTATTTTGGTTTTATAATGTTCATTTATTTTTGAGAGAGTGTGAGCAGAGGAGGGACAGAGAAGACACATACACAGAATCCAAAGCAGGCTCCAGGCTCTGAGCTGTCAGCACAGAGCCCAAAGCAAGGCTCGAACCCACAAACCATGAGATGACTTGAAGTCACTGCTAAACCAACTAAGCCACCCAGGCGCCCCTATAGTAATACTATTTTGGATCAGACCTGAATGGCAAGGAGACTGTTCTTCAAGGTGTAAGGGCAAAGCATTTGAGACAGTAGCAGGTAGGACACACTTGGGAGAATGAGGCTCAAAACACTTTAGGGGAAAAAATCAGAGTGGCTCAAGAGGCATCACATGTAGGGGAGAATGATAAAATTGAGATTGCAGATACAGATAGGAAGCAGGTCAGCCAGACATAACCTCTGTAAAGGAGTACCAATTTTATTCCATGAGGGTAGCAAGACATTTTAGAATTTTAAGGACAGTGACATCACCTGGCTGACATCAAAATTATCACTCCAGCTCTTATGTGGAGAACAGCTTGTGGGTACTAGATATAGAGTGGGGGTAGAAGTTGCTAGACTGCGATAGGCCTTCAGACAAAAGGTGGTGGCTGCTTAGAAGACGGTAGCAGTGGGAGCTGGGGCACAGAGCAGGTTAAGGATAGATTTTCAAAAACGCTGCTGATAGAGGTTTGTTGATCAATTAGAGGAGATGGGGGGAAGAGAAAACAAGAATGAATTGTATGCTTTGGGCTTTGGTGGAGGAATTACATGTGCTAATAGAAGGTGGTTATCTGGAACAGTGGACCAAACATTAAAAATTAACTTTTGTGATGATTACTTTAGAATTCTGCCCTTAGGTTTTTAAAAAATGACTGCCAAGTTTAGAAACATCTGGGTTAACTCAACTGTGTTAGAAAAAAGTTTTGTGGGGCGCCTGGGTGGCTCAGTCGGTTAAGAGTCTGACTTCTGCTCAGGTCATGATCTTGCAGTTCCTGGGTTTGAGCCCTGTGTCAGTCAGGCTCTGTGCTGACAGTTCGGAGCCTGGAGCCTGCTTCAGATTCTGTCTGCCCCTCCCCTACTCACACCCTCTCTCTCTCTCTCTCAAAAATAAACATTTAAAAAAAAGAGGAAAGCTTTGCGTACTTAATAGAACCCTAGAGAACAAGTAACAATTCCTATTGTGTATCTTCAGACTGCTTATGTGCAATGCACATTATAACTCAACAACATAAGGCCTTCGCAACCATTTTATAAAGTTCATAACATTCTTATTAAATACCTCAAGACTTAAACAGTCCCCTATGAAATAGCTTAAATTATTACAGTGACTATCAGCATGTATATGGCTTTTTGAACATGCGGGCTCACTTCCTGGGAAAAATTTCTCAAGACAGAATTTTAGAGTGAACACTGATTAATATTCAGCCAGTACACATTGTATAGCAATATTAGCTTCTAAGCTATTACAGTATATTCATATTGGGAAATAGCCACTGCCCAGCACCTCCTGAATACCTCCTTTCCTCCTCAACAGGCCTTCCCTTGCAACCACCCTGCCATCTCCAAGATCCTAAATCAAGAAGATTAACACCTGGCTGCATAAAAGGGTTGTGACCAGGGCCCTGATTGGTCACCGGCCACCCATTGTCAAATGTTAAATATTTTCATTCCCTGGAGTCAGAGACTTTCGCATCTATCATGACATTTGTATAAAATTAGTTCCATTTTAACAAGTTAAATTTAACTTGTCCTACTGTGTTGATATTGGTGCTATAACATTCAAGGAAGAGTGGCCATTTCATCCAATTTGCCATCTTTTAATCATTGTAGCTTTTTTGGAACCTAAAAATGCCTCATGAGGAGCAGCTGGCTGGTTCAGACGGTAGAGCATTTGACCCGATCTTGGGGTCATGAGTTTAAGCCCTACACTGGGTGTATAGAATACTTAAAAAAAATAGCAATACACTTTAAAAATGCCTCAGCAAGTTGCCACAGATACTCCCCAGCCCCATCCCACCTCTCACCCACACTTCACATAGGTGCTCTTCGAGCTACCCTGAGATATTGCAAAATTGTGGGATCTCTTTACCACTGCACTCCTCCCCTTTACTTCAGTAAATATTGGGCTCTGCAGATGGCCTTTCTTTCCTCTTCTGTGTAGGAATAAGGTCTATAAATATTTTTTGATTTGTTGACGGTACATAGTCTGTATTTTTTACTGTTGTCCTAAGGACATTAGGGCTTTGGAAGATCACAAAAATAGTACCTTCAGGGCTGCTAAGGGATCAGACAATTCTGAACTCAATGAATAAACTATTTTTCTCCTTCTGAAATAAATACTTGAGGGTGCCTGATCTTGACAAAAGAACAAATATTCTATTCAGTGAATAATGCATGTAAGCAATTTATGCCAAACTTATTTTTCTAAAAATGTTGTTCAGCCAAAGCAATCAATCAGACAAGGATTATTGCACAGTATGATAGTCACCACCCAGGTAGCTATTACAGGTAGTTTTGTGGTCCTTCCCACAGCTCATTTCCCTTTCTCTTAGCTGTACCAGTTGGTTTTGAGAATCACTCAAAGCAAGGCGAGTGTAACACATAATTCCATCAGTAAGAGACCAGATGGACCCAGTTTAGAGTAACTGGGAATTTTATCCTCAGAGAAGATACATGGAGAAAGTGTGAAATTCTGACAAGTCTATCATCTGCGAAACTACCACAGTGAAATCCACTAAAGGAACTATCAAAAATTATCCTAGAATACGCTTAAAGCAGATTGCATTTAGGATGAACTTATCAAGACATACATAGAGTTTGGTAAGTGCTTTATAGATTTTGGATACTAACCCTTTATCTAATATGCCATTTGCAAATGTCTTCTC